TCTTTCAAAATTGTGTTCAGTTTGGGATCTAAAAACATGGAGACATTTTAAGAAAGCAAACTTAGCATATTTACTTTCTACATGCCTCTGTGCTGTACATAACAGACCGCATTAGGCAGTGCATTCGTATCAGAGAGTTTGGCCCTGTAGGTTCTGCAGTTGTTGTTTCTTGATTCCCATTTCTCCTTCCCTTAAATTATTTTTTTTAAAATAGGTCATTAATCTTTTGCTTGGTTTCTCAAATCATTTGAGACTTATGGGAGGTTTGGTTTTTTTGCTTTTCTCCATAGTGTCTTTATGGAGTGTTTGTCCAGTTGAGAAGTATGAGGCTTGTTTCTGTTTACGAGGTGGGATTATTTTTTGGTTTTTTTTTTTCTGTAAGTTTTTTTGTTTTTCAAATTAAATCTTTTTTAAGAATGTGTCTGTCAAAATCAGTCTTGTAAATGGCCCTGATACTCTGCCATGGTGGGAAAGAAAACAAAAAAGTCAGAGGCCAAAAAAGTGTTTTTCCTATATGGGACTGGGAATTATGCTTTCTGCTAATTTAAAAAAGGAACACGCACATAAAACTCAAGCTGAATACCCATGTTTCTTTGTGTGTAAAAATGCCAAGTTCACAGTTTTATTTCCTGGCTATCTTCACTGCAGAATTAGCTCGTTTTAGCATTAGCTACTCTTTGAGTAATGCTCAAGTTGCACAGAGGGCTTACGTGGGCACAGGTGACTTCCTGCTAACTTGAGTGGTAATGTCCTTAAAAGCCACCCAGCTCATGTGATCCATTGCTGGTCTAAACAGCAGTGTTAGCAGGCTGTGGTAGCCTTTCTCACTGGTGCTCTTCTCCTTCAGTCCTCACTCCTGGGCTTAGTTTTGGGTCTGGAGCACATCCTTGGGTTTTGTTCAGTTGTCCCCTGTTTGTGATGGTTTTGGGAAAACCTGTTTCCTCTTGACGGAGAATTATGGAAGGACTTGAGAGACTTCTAACACTGTCCCTTAACTACCATGATGTTACACCAAGCCCAGTTGCAGTGGGACCAGCACTGTAAAAATTGTTTATAGGAGCAGAAGCTGGCCTGGGCATACCTGGGCTGGAAGAAGGTTTCTAGGAGATAAAACCTAATTAGTTGTGCAGTGTAGACTTCCCTTATGGAGGGCAGTCAAATTATAATTTGGATTAACTCCTTGGGAAGGATGAGCCCTTCAGCTTTGATGTGCGTTGAGCAGTCTCATGGAGTTGGGGTGGCTTACAAGCTTGGAGTTGCATTGCTTGGCAGTACCATGAGAACCAGACCAGACAGACGATGGCTAGACTGTCCCAGCAGCCTGAAATCACTCAGCAAAGACAAAACTCCTGTAATGAGAAAAATTAAAGGATACATCTCCTACTGTAGTGTTTGGTCTTGAGTGCCAGTCACACATGCCAGGAATGTGGGGTGTTACTTCCCACGTAGGCTAATGGCATTGTGTGCCCACTTTTTCGTGCACTGATGCGGGGAGGTGTCACTGTACAATGCACGTGGTAGTGGAGAAGTGGTATCTGGAGTCCTAGATACTTGTTCACTTGCTTCCCTTACAGTAGCTTAATTTATAACTCTGTCCTTTAAGTTCTTAGATGTCTCTTTAGACATGTATGGGTGACAATCGAGAATGAGTGGATGTGGAGGAAAGGGAATTTGGCCAGCTTTAAAAACACAAGTGTATGGGAGATTGTACAGTATATCCCAGTTGAAAGTTGGAATGGAGCAGACTGAGAAAATGGGAAGGGAAAGGCATATTTAAAGTCTTAGCACTGACAAGGATTTACATACAAATCTATCCAAGAAAACAATTTAGTTCTCCATCAGCTTTTCCTTTTAATTCTATTGTTAAGTGAGTCTTACCTGCTGCTTGAGGAAATGCCTATTTTCTTGCAAAACACTCTCAACTGGAGGCTAGCAGCACACATAGCACTGTAAAAATGATCCTTGATGGAAACCCTCCGAGCTACAGAAAGATTCCTCTGAACTTTCACTCCAGAGTTAATTGTCCCTAATTTGTAGAGGCTTTCCCTGCTTCTTGCTCGTGCTGAAACTTGTTCTTGGATTGCTGCAAAATGCAGTATTTTCTTTAACATGTAGATTCCATTCAAGGAGTCAGCCCCTGCCTCTGGCCATGATAGTTTTGCCTAAGTAGAAGGGCAAATGTAACTTCTTTGGGACCTAATGGCTACTTTGGAGCTTAAACTAGACCACAGTTGGCTTTGCTTTCTGTCTTGACAAGCACTGGAAGTAGTCATGAGCTTATAAATGCGTCAAAAGGGAAATTACTTCCCTAGGGAACTGCTTGCTTTGCTTGTTTGGCTAAAGTTTATTCTTCGTTACCTTTCATTTTTCTGGTGCTGTGTGGTTTTTTTTTTTAAGCTGGCCTGTGGTCAGATTAAATTTGCCTGAAATATGTTTTGTATACGAGAATACAGTCCAAACCTCCAAACCTCTGGATTTGGGGATTCATTCTACTCCCCTTAAATGCACGTTACTCCTTGTGATAGTAATAGGAGTTGCATGTGCAAATGCTTTTCTTTCCAGTAGTTAACTCTCCTTTCCATAGGAGAGGCTTGCATTTAGATAGATTTCATATTTTGGATGTGTAAAAATGATTTCATCCATCAGTAGGATGTCTATAAGTAAATTTTGATAACCATAACTAACCAAATGGACCTCTTTTACATGCTGATGCGTAATTTGACATCTACCAAGGTGAACGACCTGCAATTGTTGTTCCATCTAATGCTGCAGAGTCATTAAAACTACAGTGTTCTGTAGCCAGCCCATAGACTATCCTATAGTCTGTTTCATAGAATCATAGATATTTGCATTAACATCTCCAGTAGTGAGCAGTGTATTCATGAGTTCAATTGGGAAAATAGGGAATATTCCTACAACAGAGGCATCTAACCCAATTTCTTTCTTTTTTTTTCCCTTTTTTTCCCCCATGTACTCTTCACTTTGCTGTACCGGGTAACCAAGGACAAACATGTTGTAAGGCCACTGGTGAGAAAACCCCTCGAAAATATACTTGTCCAAAAGGTTCCTTGTTGAGACATTTCTTGGATTGCACTTTTGCAGATGGAAGAATATGTACATAGCAAATGAATGTTGATGAAATTAAAATAATTGGTTATGATATCATTTACGTGTGTTGTTAGAGAATATTTTGTTGTGGCTTCTCTGTATTAAAAAGTAATAAATACCAGACAGCTAATAGTGTTGGTTCTTCTTTCCCTGTTCTTGTCTGGACTAGTTTCTTACACCCACTCTTTCTAGAATTACTCTAGTTGCCTTAAGTTTAAAGGGCACAATAAACCCAGGTTTTTGGGGTCAGTTGAAATGAAGCTTTATTGTAGTAATTTTGAAGACTGCTGTCCTAAAAGAGTGATGGTGGGGGATGTGATGTGCCACCTTGCCAAACTGAAGTCCTCTTCACTTTGTTAACATTAGAAATGGTCGATCTGTAGCACAGCGTGTCCTGTGGGAGCTGTTTCAGGAACGCCCGTGTGCTGTGCCAGATGTTGCCAGTGGGGCTGCATAGAGGACAGAGTGCAGAACCTTTCACTTCTGGATGAGTCTGTTAATGGAAATATGCCCTCTGGTGCCTGTGAAATATTGGAAGGGCTTCTGGAGGGGAAAACACAATGCGGTAGCACTAGGGCAAAAGGGTTTCCTATGTTATGACTGTATATGTAATCTCTGAAACACAGCTGCAAGGGAGGGGGCCTCAAATCCTTGCTTTCTGTGCCAGATTTTTCAGCAGTCTGACTAATCATGGAATCATGCATTTTAGCAAACCTTGCTCCGTATGCTTACGGTGTGATTTTTCAGCCTTTGCATATTACCACAGAGAAGTTCAGGAAGGATGTAAATGATCATGGCCATCTGGACATACAAAAGGTAAAGTAAATACTGCTGGGAGGGAAGGAAGGCCAAAGCTCGGGAGAGATGAGGTATGATTTGGAGATTTGGGAACACTAAAAGAGCCAGCTGTAGCTGTGCAGGTTTAATTTTGGAAGCAGATGCTGTGGCTGATTTGAATAACCTGACACTGACAACCTGTATGTTAATTGTGTAAAGCACTCTGGATAGCTGCTTCTTAAAATACAAATATTTGTTCATGAGGTAAAAATATAAATAAGCTGCCATCTGCTAATTGCTAGTGAATGCAGTGATTCTATATTGATATTTTACTGAAACGATAATGGGTAATGGCTTAAGCCTATGTGGAAAAACTAAATGGTAACTAGTATTTCAGAGAACCTGTTCCCCTAGCTTAATTACTGCAGTCCTTGATACTGAGTACTAAACTACAGAACTTGAGGTTTGATCTTCTGTGATACTGTGTTGCTAAAAGAAACTGAATAGCGTAGTGAGAGAGTAGAGAAAGGAAAATATCTCAGAAAAGAAAGCTTTTCAAGCTGTTACATGATATGTGGTATGTAGGTAAAATAGAGGTGGCACAGGCAAATTGGGCTAGGAGCATGCCTGGGCTCATATTCCTGCTGGAGGCATCCCTGATTGTGTCAGAGGAGGGGAATGAACTATTCAGGCTGCATACATGTGTGGGTGTTTGCACCTAAAAATACATATCCAGGTTTCACACAAATATATTTGTATTTGATTTCTATTCTGACAGTACTCTGTGCAACAATTTATGTTCATTCCGATGCTAGTAAAACCTGGCCTTATAAAACAAAACCTGCTTTCCAAAACAGCTGCTGCTGCAGTGTTTTGTTGTTGACTTGCAACATTAGTAATTTTTGGCCTTAAATACATGTATTAGTCACTGAATTTCCTGCATATTTACTTTTCATTCAGTGATGTCCAACCACGATCAGTGGGATGTGGAGAGAAGCTAAAGCAGCTGGTGTAGCTCCTTAACCCACAGACCACCTGATCCCAAGCTCGCAGAGCCAAACCAACTGTGGTGGCATTACAGGAGGAACTCTCAAGTCATGCTTCAAGAAGAAATTTGCTCCTTCCTTTTATGAAGAAACTACTTTCCTTTTTGTAATGTACCTGCCTGGAGTGCTGTATATTCGAGAGTTTGCATTTGGCTTCATTATACAATGTAACCCTGAAGCTACTCCCTTTTGTTAAACAAGTACTACACTTGTTTTCTTGTGAGAAAAACACACGTGCAGATCCCATCCATCTTATGGCTTGTGTATCCCATTTTCCTTGCTACATACTCATTTAACAAGCAGTTGAAAATAAAAAGCTCCGGCAGGATCTTTTCAAAATAAAATTCTCCTTGGTTATCCAGATAGGGTTAGAGAATAACAAATCAGTGCTGCCTTTATAGGATGCCTGCATGGCTTTTACTAATACAAGAATAGTAACCGTGGAATGGAGTCTGTGGAGATAGAATGTAATCCAGCCATAAAAATCAAGGGGACTTAAATAAAAATACATATTACCCATTGCCAAATACTTCAGCCTTTTTTTCCTTGTTTTTTTGTTTTCAGGGCCTGAGCTTTTAAATGAGTCAGGCTCCAACTGAAGTAATACCTTGTGTTTGGAATGTGATTAATGTAGGCTCAGTTTAATTGCCTGGGACTTGTTCTAAGAAACATCCCTGCTAGCTGATTACTTGTACAATGTTTGCAAACTTCCCAATCCCCACGTGACAAACTGATCCTTCCATATTTGTATGTTTAGGAAGCATCATTTGATTGGCACAAGACACAAGTACTGGTTGAGGATACTCCGTGGTTCTAAGCTAGGCTTTTCCGTGTCTTTTATAAGACCTGGAGGCAGACAGCACCTCAGATCAGAAACAAGAGAAAGATTGAGAAACTGAATCAGAAACTAGAATCAGTACTTTAAAAACAAGAGAATATTTTCTTTAAAGCTTTGTTTAAATGATTGCTATGGTTACAAGCTCTGTAACCAGGATATTCTAGTTACACGAATAGTAATTGAATTTAGTATGCTTTTAAATTTCAGTCTTCTGCCAAAGAATATATTGAACTGCGTGGGAGTCTTTCCTTGCCATTTGGGCAGCTTTTCCATTTGGTGCAGTCAACACTAGATGGGCTGCTGTGTTGACGGCAGAAGGGGAGCAGCTGCAGACCTTGGTGCACGGCTGGGTGGAACACGGGAACCTAATAATCAGGGGCAAAATGCCACAGAAAGTGTAATTCACTGCTGCAGGCTGCATGGCAGCCACGTTGGTTGGAGTAGAAGCCAACTGCAGAGTAAGGGATGAAAAATTTTATGGCAGTTCTTCCTGATGGTTTTCTAAGCAGTCCTCGCTTAAAAATTGACAGTGCTTGTACTTTGTTGAATTTAAATTCCTCTAGCTCTGGTTGGAAGAGTCCCTGTTCCACTTCTTTACCTCTGCCTTCCCACTCATGCTGGAGCTTCTGAAGGGCTGCTCATAGCCAGGGAGATCATGGACCTGGCTCCTTCCAGACCCACTGAACTGGCTCTGCACCTTAGTGCTTACAGGTACAAGATGCCTCGTGGAGAGTCTGAAGTCCTGGAGAGGGCCAGCATGGGTATGACTGAGCTGAATTATTTTGCCTCTGTGTATCACAGTACCTCATCTGTGATATGCTTGTGATGTGCTTCTGAGAACTATTTCTCTAAAAGGCTTTCATGGAAAAAGAAGACAAAAAAAGAGCAGGACTTAACTGTCCCTGTTGGTGCACGTCAGTGTCGTAAGGCTTGTTAACGAGGGGAACATAAAACATCATAAGCTTGCTCAAGTTCCCTGCAGCGCACAGACATCTGGTGAGGGTCCTTGCTTCCTTGGTTGTGCAGAAGATCAGTGGGAGCACACTGTCACTGCCACAGTGTGACTGCTGAGTGCAAAGTGGTGTGCCCATGGAGGTGGAGCAGCTGTGCAGCAGCGGAGCAGGATTGCCCACCCATCTTTCTGCTTCTGTGGGAAGATCCTAACAGAAGTAGGTCTCAGGAGTTGCCTATTTGTGGCTGGAAAAAATGAGAGATGAACCAGATGCAGCAGAACCAGGAAGCCAAGCTGGGATTTTGGCGATGTAGTTGTCCTCTGTCTCCTGAAGTCTATGTAGATGGGGTTGTGCCTGTTTATGCCAGAAGATTTGTGCTAGTGCTTTGAATAACTTCAGAGTACAGGTATTGCTGAGAATAAGCACTGTACAAATTAGTCTAGTCATGTGTTTTGCAGATCTCTCATTAGCAAGGAATTCTTAATAAGAATTATAATATTAATGAGAGTTTATCCTCTAAATCCCTTTCACAGGAAGAAAAGAATCAGAAAATTGACTCATACAGTAAGGTGAGGACATTTGGCTGAAGGCTTGAAAGAGGTGATGGGAGAATTAACATTTCACTTCCTCTGTGGAGAGCTTACAGCAGAACAGGGCTGGAGGGAGGAACGTTCTGACTCAACAGACTGAGGAATTAGTAGGACAGGTGCTTTGGTTAAGACTAGGAGTGCTTCAATCAAGATGTTTGATAACTACTTTACTTGCAATATCAAATTTAGCTGGGGAGGAACCACTGTCAAGTACAAAAAGCTTCTTCCACTGATCTCTCTGTCTTACCATTATGGTCACTAGAACTGGTGGGAGTTACTGCCCATAGCACTGGGCACAGCCCAATGCAAGGTTACCATGAGAGGGGAGTTTGTGTATTGCAGTCAGCTTTTGCTGAGGATGGTGTCTGCACACTGGCACTCTCCTCCATGGGGGTGGCAGTGTTGTCCTGACCTTACTGGAGGTTTGTTATTTGTGTGGATTTTGCCGTGCTTCACGTCTGACCTCTGATGAAAATGTGCTGGCAGAAGAGGAGCGCTGGAGTACCCAGCCCTGCTTTGCTGCTGGTCTGAGAGCACGGCTGCCCTCATGTCCCTTTACCACTCAGCTGCCGTGTCTGTGCAAACACACACCTAAAGCAGCTGGACTTTCCAGGCCGGATTATTATTCAATCCTCTCTTCCTGCTGTGCTCAGCTGCTGACTAGTGGAAATGCAGTTCTGTGAGCCAAGTCAGAGAGAGTAGGCCAAATTTTAAAGTGGGTGTGTATAATCTTCAGAAAAAATACTGTGTAACTGTGAACTCTATAATTTTCTTCTGATTGTTCTGATGGAGGTCAAGGCACAATAAACGTGCGTGTGAAAACTTGCACTGGTTTAACCACATCAAATTGAAAATGTACAGGCATGAACAAGACCCAGGGATGTCAGTATTGCACTTTTGAAAACCTGTATAGTGTGGTGGTGAGGACCCCAAAATAACTTTCTTCCGTAGCACTGTTGCTCCCTCTGACTGCTGTAGGTGCACACTGCATGGCCACAGTGGAAGATATTTCAGACAGGCTTCAGTCCTGGAGTTGATAGTGCTAGGGTGCAAACCGTGTGAACTTCATCATACTGTCTTAAGCTTGCCCCTGGCTTTTGGGACCAAATGGTTGACATTTCACAAGTCTTAGCAGTCAAATAGTTGGTCATCAGCTGTGACTATGACTCTTAGCTAAGTTGTTGCAGCAGAAGTTTTCAAAACAAAAATACGTGTCCAACAGAATTTAAAAGGGTTATAACACATTTATTGTTAAGTTTTTGCTGGTTGGAATTCCCCTGGGAGATGCCCTGTAGGGTAGCTTTCTGTTCAATGTACATGATCTGGATGCAGGAGTTGAATGTCCCATTAGCAAGTTTGCTGATAATACTAAACTGCTGATGACTCAGAGATTTTGCAGAGGGCTATTGACAGATTGGAGTACTTGGCAATGATTAATGGGATGAAGTTTAACAAGTCCAAATGGCAGATTCTACACCCAGGATAGCATAGCATCAAGCATAAGTTGGGAGAGGATAGTCTGGAGCGCAGCCCCACAGGAAGGGATCTAGGGGTGTTGGTTGGCACCTGGTTCAATGTGCCCTGGCTGCCAGGAGAACAAACTGCATCGTGGGGTGACTCAAACACAGCTGGTCAAAAGAAGTGATTATCCCTTTGTATTCAATGTTGGTGTGGCCTCATCTTGAGCACTATGAGCAGATCTGGGGCCCACAGTTTAAAGAGGATGCAAAGGTCCTTGAATGCATCCAGAGGAGGGCAACAAAGCTCATGGAAGGGCTGAAGGCATATGCTGTGAGGAGTGGAGGAGGGCTTTGGGCTTGTCTAGTTTGGAGAAAAGGAGTCTGAATTGTTGCTATCTGTAGTGTCCTGAGAAGAGGATGTGGAAAGGGAACTGTTGATCTCTTTTCCCTGGAATCCAGTGATAGGACACATGAGAATGGTTCAAAGGTGCACCAGAAGAGGTTCAGACTGGACATTAGGAAGAATTATTTTACCAAGAGGGTAGTCAAACACTGAAACAGGCTTCCTAGAGAGGCAGATGATGCTCCAAGCCTGTCAGTGCTTAAGAGGCATTTGGACAGTGCCAGAGTGGTCAGACAGTTGAACTAGATGATCAGTGTAGGTCCATTCCATCTATTCTATTCTATTCTATTCTATTCTATTCTATTCTATTCTATTCTATTCTATTCTATTCTATTCTATTCTATTCTATTCTATTCTATTCTATTCTATTCTATTCTATTCTATTCTATTCTATTCTATTCTATTCTATTCTATTCTATAGGGCTTCTCAGTAGGAGGCTGATGTGACAAGATAAAATGTCTTTACAAGATTGACTTAGGCTTCTTGACCTTTAAGGGTTAGAAAAGACTTTTGTTTATTTTGTTTTCTCTGGTTGAATGTAACACACATGGGTGTGCTTTAACCAAGTTCTTCTGGTACTGCATTTTTTTCTTAATCCTTGTAACATTTTGCCTGACAAGCAGGAACAGTACATGTGGAAAGTTCATACACCTGTGTAAATGTTATTGTTAACAATTACTGCTCTGCTGAGGACTTGGAAAGTTTTGCCAAAACCTCAGGAGAAAAACTATCAAGTATAGGAACCTGAGCTTATGGGAGGTAGGGCTCAAGTAGCTGTTGCCGTGTCACACATCCTGTTGGAGCTGCAGCTGCAAGGGGGTGAGGCTTTTGCATTCCCAACAGACCTGAATGATCCCACCTGTTTGCCAACACTTGTTTCTCTGCTCATCTGGCACACCAGCCTACACAGTCATCACCTGAGCAAAGCCAGGTCAAATGATCTGCTTTGCTTGAGCATTTTCATAACTAAATCTAAAGCTGTCTTATGTATTTTCACCAGGTTGGGTTAGAAAATCATCACACAAGCTGGTACACTGGTAAAATTGGTGAGGGTTTGAGCTGTGGTGGAGTTCATGGTGAGGTATTAGGAAGACTGGTAGATGAATGGGGAGTGGTGGCTGCTTTGTTTGGATAGAGCAGTTCAAGCAGGCTGGGAAGTCACTGCTGCAGTTAAACACATACATGGGTTCTTGTTAAGAAATCAGGATGTCCCATGTCATCTCAAATAAGAGCTGGTTGTGTTCAGCCTGGAGAAGGCTCAGGGAGAATCTTAAACTAAAGATGGGAGGCTATAAAGAAGATGGTGATACATAGTGGCAAGGAGAGAGGCCAAGGACGTTGAGCTACACTAAGGAAGATTAGATAGAAGGAAAAAAAATTCACTCTGAAGAAAATCAAAAATGGGAACAAGTACCCAGAAACATGCAGTCTCCACTCTTGGAAATATTCGAAACTGATGGGACCTGAGCAACCTGATGTACCTTCAAAACTGGTCCTGCTTCTCTTAGGAAGGGGAGGTGACTTCTAGGGATCTATAAAAGCATAAAAGATTGCATGATTATGATGTTTAATGGCATTTTAAATTAGCAATTAATCTTACTAAGCCATAAGTGTTGTACTCAAAATAACTCACAACCGCATTCACTACCCAAATTTTACAAGCAGGAATATGAGGCAGAAAGATCATTCATTTGTCTGAGTCACAGGGTCCCAAGAGCAGGGATTATAATGCAATAACTGCAGGAGTTCCAGGTGCACCACCTGGTGTCTGCATTCTATGTCTCCCCATGCTATCTACCAGTGCCAATGGGATTCTCCAGGGTGCAGCAGGGAACCCAGCTCCTCCCTGTGGGAGAAGGGCACCAGGAAGAGCAGCAGTGTTGCCATGTGTACCTGCAGCTGTGGGGTTACAGAGCTTACACCATTAAAATGCCTTACTACAGCTCTTCAGGTCTATATGTTTCACAGCTATAATAGAACATGCTGCATCACATGATATGTTACATTAATATATAATTAAGATGTTAGTATGGTATATGTTCATTCACCAGTAGCTGTGGATGAAGCTGTGTTCCCTCAAGGATCTCTACTGGTATATAGACATAGAAATAATAGCATAGAGATAACAGCAAACATAATACACTAAAGATGTGGAAGTCCTGAATGGATTAATTTCAGCCACTGTTCTGCACACAAAAGGTCAGTGTGATCTTTTATAGAAGGAGAAGTTCAATCTACTTTTGTCCTAGGTTTTTCTGTGAGAGCATTAATTTTCTTCCTAGTAGCTGGTATGTTTTAGTTATTATTCAGTAGTGCTTACTCTTAAGTCAAGGAATTCTCAGTTTCCCACACTCTGCCAGCAAGCAGGTGCACAGGAAGCCAGGAAGTATCATGGCCAGGACAGCTGACATGAACTGTCCAAAGGAATAATCCATACCATAGAGTGTAATGCTCAGGATATGAACTGAGAGGAGTTGACCAGGAGCATCTGAAGCTGATTGCTGCTCAGGGATAGGCTGGGCATCAATCAGGATGGTGAGCAATTGTATTGTGCATCACTCGTCTTTCTTGAGTTTTAGTCCTCCCACACTCTTTGTTATCCCCTTTTTCCTTACTATTTTTATTATTGCTGTTATTATTATTGTTGTATTTTTATTTATTTCAATTATTAAACTGTTCTTATCTCAATCCATGGGTTTTACCTTTTCTGATTCTCCTCCCCATCCCACTGTGGTGGTAGGGGAGTGAGGGAGGGAGTGGCTACATGATATTTAATTGCCATCTGGGGTTAAACCATGACTGATACTTTTCTGAGGAGCCAGCTGGATATACCATGCCCTTGTGTACTGTGCTTGTAAATTGCAGTTGTTTTAATCTAAATTGTTATGGGTATATTTAATGATGTAGAAAATGACAAGTGAGAGAGATGGGTTGACCAAGGCAGGTGCAGAGAACTGCTGCTAAGACAGCTCTCATGGTGGCAGGTCCATATCTTCCTGACCCTGAGTCAAGCTGCTATTTCTGTCATCAAGACTTTTCCGAACAGACTCTCTTGTTGTACAAAATAGCACCAGTTAAAGGTGTGCTTTTGTGGAATGGTCTGGCAGTCTAGCAGTGGTCTAGAAGCACAAACTTAAAACCCAAACTGTCTCCAGCTGATGTAATTCAAATGTGACCTTGAATTTCAGGAGGTAACACTGCATTACCAACCCACAAAAAAGACTACTTTTATTAAAAATGACATGGACTTCACTGGACTTCACTCATTTTTTGAACATTACATTCAGCCTCCATTGTAATAGTCTTGTGTTCTGGGATGCTGTGGTTTATATGCATTGATTTAATAACATTTTGTAGTACAATAAGCAAAGAAAGAAAGAAATTCGTATTGCTGAAAAGACGTTCATATTGCTGGGGAAATTTGCCAGTTAACATCTAGCACAATGACTGGGAACAGAGAAATGATCCTTAAAGTTTGAGTGATCACCCCACTACTGGCACTTGTTCTGTTCTCCTGTGTGAGATCCCAGGGTGTCTGTATGGAATATGCAGAAAATGTAACACAAACTTCCAAATGCTGGAGCTGCTCATTATCATGTGTTGGATATTATGTCTTCCCTGTCTTTTGTGTAGAGGGTCAGACTGAGATTTAAAGTACAACTTTTCAAATTCTGTTTTCAGTCCAGGAGATGTCTCTTAAAATAGTCAAGGCAAGGTTACCATTAACTCTAAAAACAGCATTATACTCTGGAGTTAACATCCAAATGTGTGGATTCCTTTATGAGCAAAGGATGGGTGAAGTTCAGTTAGAGTTACAATGACCAGAATTCAGATTATAGTTTCCTGAGATACTGTCACAAAAAAAAAACCCCTGTGGGATCACTGCAATGATCTGAGTTAAAATTAGCTCTTCCTGGTGATGGTGGTGGTATATTTTTAACCTGAATTGCTTGAGTGACCCAGTTCAAGTGCAGCTGCACAGCAATATGCTGGCGAGGGCAGCAGGTGCGGCGTCTGGGTGGGAGTGATGCCTTGAATGGGGGAACAGGGCAAGAAGCCGTAAGTCATCTTACTGCTAGGGCTGGCATTTTATTTTTAATTCTGTGGAAACTGGTGAAAACATCCAGGAAGAAATAGCTGAGTAGCATGATGAG